ATATTTATTTTTTATCTAGTTTGAATTTTTAATATATTTACTTGTAAGTATGGTTCCAAAAATTGAAATTAAATAGCATCGAACAGAATCACAAAAGGTTTGGAACACTATTAAAAATGATGGTGAGGTATACCCCACCTATTAAATTTAATAAAATTAATAAAATCAATAAATATTACAAGTGTCAATATAGCTGGATATATAGATAGCTAAATAGAAAACAAATAATAAAGTCAAAAATTAATAAAATTAATAAAATCAATAAAATTAATAAATATTATAAGTATCAATATAACTGGGCATATCGATTATATTGTCGCAGGTCAGGAGTCTATCAGCAGTAATGGCGAAATCCTAGACTTCACGACACATCAACAGGGGTATCTGTTATAACAGGAGGAGATTAAAGGCAGAAAGAGGCTTAGATTTGATAAGTTTGTATGATTTGAGAGGATTTTATTGGACAGAACAGTACAATAAATAGGTCGATTTTAACACTCTTTTATTAACTAATTTTTTCACTTCTTTTCTACTATATTTTCTTATATCATTTTTTATACTTTTTCTTATAGCAAAAGAAAATAAAAGAAATAAAAGAAATAACAGAAATAAAAGAAATAAAGAAAATAAAAGAAATAATAAAAATAAAAGAAATAATAAGGTTAAGAGTCGATTATCCATTTTGGCAATCTCTATAATGCATGATTGTCATTTTCTCAATTTCTAAGCCATATCGTCGATCGTCATTTTCCTGTAACAGTTCCTCTCTTTCTTAATTGTGAGTTCCACAAGCAAACCCTTTTACTCGACTAAAACTCGATACTCTTATACACTTAATCACTTAATTTTATTGAAGGTAATTCTATTCCTTATCATTGGAATAGATAGTAGAGCTACAACTTCCCAGGCAATAATGTAAGGTAAGACAATTTTATGGTCCCGTTCCCTCTACTAGCTGACCCAAATAATACACCATCACTATAAGGTCCTAGTGACTTTTTCCTCGTACATTTCCCAGACATCATAGAGTGGTGGTGTAACGTTCATATATGCAAGTTCTGTTGTCAGCAAATCTGTTATTATCCTGGTGACTTCTTCGGACATTCTTCTAGATTAGTTTCGAACTGGAGGAGGAGAATAAAACAAAAAAAGAGAAAAAAAACAAAGAATTGCGCGAAACCAAAAACCATCCTATTTATATTTGTAAAAAAAAAATAAAATCACTAAATAAAATAACCATTCGAATTGATCGAACTGATCAAAAACATCTCTTTTTTTTTCATTTCATTTTTTTTTTATCCCTGCATAGTAATTTCATCTTTTTTGGTAAGTATAATTTCTCGTTCGTGATACAATTTCAACAGCTAATGATTAACGGGTCATCAAAGCACGTTTCCTTCCATTGTTCGGAGACAGTATATCCTCTTTGGTCATACATCATGGACAAAAAAGGGTCCCTCCCACTTACTATACAGTTTGTGGCTTCGAGAGTGAATAAGATAGACGCAATAAAGTAACACTTTGTCTCCTATCATGAAACTCTGGCTAGATTTGAGTCTTTGGTTGTGTCATGTCTTGTTTTGCTGTTGCATTTGCTTCATTTGTGCAATGGTGTTATTTCGTTCTTGAGAAACAATGTTAATAAGGTCAAACAATCATTTTAAAATAGTACCATCAAGAATGTCATCATCCGGAATTATTTGTGTATGTGTTTCCCTGCCATATACCAAATAGAATGGCATCACTCTAGTCGTAGCCTGATAAGCTGTCTGGTATACAAACAATACGGATGGTATCATCAGATCCCAATTTTCAACATTATTTATAGTTTTGACCAATAATTCGCATAGTGTTCTGTTGAATTACTCTACTAGTCCGTTCGTCTGTGGGTAATACGTGATAGAATATAGGTGTGCAACTTGAATTTTAAACAGAAACATATTAAGCATTCAGCTTCTGAAATTCATGCCTTAATCAGATAACAGGTAACTAGAACATCTATAACGACACACTATATCATTGTAAATAAAATCAGCAATACTTCGAGCGGTCGCATTTTCTATGGCCCTGGCTTCTGGCCATCTGGTTATATAATCGGTAGCGATGATGATATATCATTGATCTCGTGGAGTCACAGGCAGAGAACCAACTACGTCGATACCTATCTTATAGAATAGGGCCTCCACAGGTATCAGATGTAAAGGTCATCATGCTTGATTCTTCCCTCATTGTTGACACTGATTGCATGTACGTACGTATGCCCTGATATCTTTGTATAGTTGCGGCCAATAGTATAGGTCTCATATCTTCTTAAACATAATATCTTTATTGAAATGTCCTCCTAGTGGATACATGTGCGTTAAGTACAATATCAGTTCTAACTCATGTTGTTATAGTACTCGTAATAGTCGACCTGGTTGATGTTTGTTCTTTTTGTATAATAATCTGTTCTTTTGTACAAAAAAATTACTTTGTACCTGTAATCATCATATCAGTTGTGGTGTGGCATTCGCAAGTAGTCATTGTTTTCATAAGTAATTAAGCAGTTGTTAATAGTTATCAGATTCCATGGTTTTTTTTTTTTTTTTTCACATCAGGACACTAATACCTGGACTGGATTTTGTTCCTTGGATTTTTCTTTTTTTTTTGAATTAATTAGTGGGCAATAGGACCCGGCACGGTCGTTACTTGTTTTTTCATAATGCTTTTAATTATGTTGTTGTTATCACATTTCTCACTTCCTTTCTTCACTCGAGATAACGCATCCACATTGGTATGTTTCTTACCAGTGCGATGTACAATCGTATAGTTATATGGTTGGAGTTGCAAAATCCATCATGCTCTCTGTCTCTTTAGTTTAGATGTTTTGAGCTACTTTAGCGCAGAGTGATTTGTGACCACTATGAAGGGTTTTATGCCGAGGTAATAATAGAAATATTCAACTTTCCAAATTATTGTTAAGCATTCTAATTCTGTTGCTACATAGTTTTACTCAAGTCTAGTCAACCCTCAGCTCGCGTATGCGACTACGTATTCATTTTTTTTGTTATCAATTTGTGACAATATAGTGCCTAATTCTGTTCCCAAGGCATTCGTATATAAGTAGAACGTTTGGTCAAAGTCAGGATATCTGAGGATTGGTGCCGAAATTAGGTGTCTTTTCAAAATTTCAAAAGTATTTTGTTGGTCTTTTTTCCATTTGTACAGTACGTCCTTTTCTAATAGTCGGTATAGAGGTTTTGCAATGCTAGAGAAATTCTTTATAAACCTCCGATAATACAAGACAAGTCCTATAAATCCTTTTAACTGTCTTAAATTTTGGAGGTCAGGAAATTCTTTACTTTCTCTACTTTTCTCTAAATTTAGTTAGATGCCATTCCTTCCTACGATATGGTCTAGAAATCCCACATTCGGTAAGAAAAAACTACATTTTTCAGAATTCAGTTTTAGTGAGGCTTTCCCTAGTTCTTCGAAAACTCATGATAAATGCTCCAGGTGTTCTTCGTAGGTATGTGAGTAGACAATAATATCATCTAGATATATGGTGACAAATCGTCCTATACACTCATGTAAAACCATATTCATAAGCTATTGAAAAGTGGCCGGTGCGTTACATAGCCCAAATGGCATAACCTTAAACTCATAGGTGCCAAATTTTGTTACAAATGCAGTCTTCTCGTGGTCATTTTCATGTACTCATACTTGCCAATATTTACTGGTGAGATCTAAATTAAAGAACTAGCTAGCTTGTCCCAACGTTTCTAGTAGGTCATCGATTTGTGGTAACAGGTATGCATCCTTCTTTGTTACTATATTCAATTTCTTATAATCAACGTATAGTCACTTCGCCACATTTTTTTTTGATACGATAACTATAGAGGAGGACCAAGGGCTAATAAATTCCTATATTAGGCCTTGTTCCTTTATCTTCATTAATTCTTCTCGAACGTAATCATGTTTGGTTGGTGCCATTCGATAGGGGGCTTGCTTAATCGGTTTTGCATCTCCTGTGTCAATAACATGGTGAATGACATCAGTTTGAGTTAACTTCATGATATCCTTTGCAAAAAGATTCTTCTCTTTTTCAAAGAATTTCATGACTTCTTCCTGTTCTTCCTTTATTAAGCAGATGTCAATGTTCTGCTTCGGGGTTCCTTCGTCATTTCGACGTTCGTCATGGTGATTATCACGGGTAGGTACCTTCTCAAGGGTTGTTATATATATTGCTGGACTCTGCATGTTTTCCTATGGGTTCTCATATAGTTCTCCATCTGATTGTTCTTTCATATAGTACCCTTCCTTTTCTTCTAATTCTTCACTTTTGTACTTGAATTCATTACATGTGTCGAGATCTTTGTCACTTATATCTGTCTCTTTTGGTGTCTGCAAGAATGTCATGTCATTGTGTGAAATTGGGATTTCTGTGAATTGGCCTTGATACTTAAGGTACAGTTTCTGTTCATCGAAATGAATCCTTGCATTTGCCTTCTGAAACCAATTTGTTCCCAACAAAAGAGTTTCGTCTTTGGATTCGATAACTTGGAAGGTCATTGGAATAGTTATCT